ACTGTGACATCATATGACATCAATATGATGTCATATCAATCTATGGTTTTCTCGCTTTTTTGGCTTCGAAATGGGGGGGGGGCAATGGAGGGGGGGCAGCACCCTGTGACCCCCCCTGGATACGCCCCTGCTTTATATCATTCAACTGAATGACACCAGTAGAATAATACATCTTGAACTGTTAATTCAATTCTTGCCACATCCTTAATTATAAACAGTCACTAAATTGTTTTTGAAATTAGCCCTTTTACAAGTGATACTCAGTATTTTGGAAGCTTAGCAATTTGKTCCCAAAGGTGTCTGATAGCTGATAATGTGACTAGTGACATACCTCCTCTACAGAACTATTAATGTTCTTTCTTCGTCCTTTTATAAGGTTATCACAGATAAGGGATTCATCTGGAATTTGGACATTGTTCTTATGGATATGATTCGACCTTCTTTCTACCGTTGCATAGTACCTTAAATGCAAGAGGACAGTCGATGACAACATGAACTTAAGCACTTCCTAAGAATGTATTCTGTAAGCTCTGTAAGCTATAAACTTTCTTCAAGTTAAGTTTCATTTCTCTGTGTCTGTGTCGACTAGACACAGAGAATGAAACTTTTTTATAGTTTACACTTGATTTTTTACACGTACAAAATGCCAAAGTATCGTATAGGGCTTCACGTAGATTATATGTAAAATTCAGAATGACAGTTGCAAGTTTCATATCATTCAAAAACCTACCTCGAAAATACCACTTTATCCAAGCCATTTTCAGGTACTGTACTCAAAAATACCCATATTGCACGAAGACTCATTTAATAAACTAACTTAGTTATCCGCAACAAACAGAACTATTTATAAAATCAGCTGAACATATCATTCAGCTGGGTCCATCCGCCATCTTGATTTTGAACGACCGCTGGTCAATGTTATTCAAGGTYGCAGAGCAAAGTTCACTTCCGGATTTCTACGCACGTATTTTTTCATTGGAGATTGAGCAACCGATCAAAGAATATTTTTGTTAATTTATCCTATGACAGCATCCAGAGTAGTGTGGAGAACAAAAAATACAATCAGTCTTCTTATAAGCCATCCGCTACAAAACGCTATAAACTTTTTTGAATATCGCAAGCTCCCCTCCCCACCACCAAAACAGCTACATTGTAGAGAGAAAATCTAGACCAAAACACTTCATGATTAGGCTACATGCCTGGCTATTGTTCAAGGTTATTCAAGGTCATTAAAGCTATTTGCGGCTCACTTCCGGTGACTATTGTTTAGTGTGAGTCGTGTAACAATTCACATTTTCCTTGTAAGTCACTCGCAGTGATTTATATTACATTAATTCTTATCAACTACTAAAAACTTAACGATGTATATTTGTTTGATTTGATTGTGAAAAGAATGGCTGAGTGATCTTCACGTGATTGAACCTGTCTCATGTCAGCCAATCACGCGCAGGCTAAGAGAAAACCCCGCGTAAAGGTCAGACCAGATTCCAAAGTCAAACTTTATATAAAGAGAAATCAAATACGCTAGAAGTCATAGTACTATTCAYCATGGAGCAAAACGGTGTAACGAAGCGAAGTACGGCGAAAGAGAATCATTCTGGCCATCCTACCTCAAATGGAAAATATCCTCATACTGAGACAGCTCGAAAGATACTCAAATCTAAAATGAAATTGGTCACGTTCGCTAATTTGCGCTACATCGTCGAGTGCCTAATTGCCAACTATATTTTGATCCCTGTCGTGATCTTCCTATTGCCATTTATACTGCTCTACTGGGTCTTGAAGAAGTTAGAATTGTGGATAGTGCGCTTATCTTGTAAGAGTGCCGTTGCCTTGAATGGTGAAGACGCTGTATGGCAGCAAGACTCAGACTTGAATCGAATGATAATTTCWGCTGTCTTGTTCATAGAAAGGCCAAAGGACGGGAAGAAAGCACTTGAGAACTTTAAGCAAGCTATCTATGAACGACTTGTGGATCATCGCGATAGYCATGGAAACCTCATGTATCCTCGCTCCAGGCAAATCATTCGACCTGGAATCTTTCAATACTTATTTGTTGACGATCCGAACTTCAACATGGACAACCATGTCTTCCAGTACGATGGCAAGTGTCCAAAAACGAAAGAGGAACTGCAGGGCATTGTTTCAGACCTTCAGTCGACACCTTTACCTGAAAACCTATCGCCCTGGTATTATTGCTTCATCCCAACTCAATTAGAAGGAAATAAAGATGCGATACTATTACGTATACATCACTCAATGGCTGACGGGGTCTCATTGTCCAGATTCTTGACTAGGGTTCTGCCAGATCAATACATCCCACAGGAAGAACATAAAAAGTTTTCTTCTTACGAAAGAGGTTTTATATTCATGAAGGCAGTCTTTATCATTGGTAGGACTCTTCTGACACAACTTCTAAAATTTGCAGACAAATCAATTATACATGGTGCAGAGATGACAGGCAAGAAAAAATGCTCCTGGTCTGAACCAATGGATCTGAATCTCGTCAAGAGAATCAAAAATGCAACTGGTACGACAGTTAACGATGTCCTTGTAGCCTGTTTGACTATGGCGGTMAGAAAGTACYACAAGAAACATGGCGTGGAATCCCCTCCCGACTTCACTGCTTCGATTCCAGTTGATCTCAGTTTGTCCAAAACTGAACTCAAATTCCAAAACAAATTTGCAATAGTTTTTATCAAACTGCCCGCCAGCCATGAGGGTGCTTTGAATATCCTCTTCGAAACAAAGTCAAGAATTGATGCCATTAAAACTTCTGGAGAGCCATTTGCAATGTCCTGGCTGATGACGCTATCAGTTGAATTCCTACCAGAGATCGTTACAAAACCTTTRTTGTCCTTTATTACAAGGAAAGCAACCTGTGTAYTGTCCAATGTACCTGGTCCACAGTACTTCCTGTCAGTTAACGGGAACTCAATCAAGTACATGACTTTCTGGCCACCWCAAAGGAACAATGTTGGTATTGGCTGGTCAATTTGTTCSTATGCTGGTCAGGTTGCAATTGGCTCGGGGGGTGACGAGGCWGTAATGAAAGACCCRGAAGCGATAACGGAGCTCTTTGGCGAATCTCTGAAGGAATTGACTGACCATGTTTTAAACTATGACAATTGCGTCAGCAATTAGGTTTATTTGAGTTTATTAGGGTTTATCTAGAATATTATTAACAGTATATCAACTGAGCATGAGTTCTGATCTGCTATATTTGTGTCATATGACCAAAAGATTTGTACTTCGAATCAACAAAATTATTTGAAGGTTCTATGATTTAAAACAATGTTAGATGTAAATAATTATTGCTGTGCGCTTGGTTTATATCGATCAATCGCATGAATCGCTAAATCTGTAAAACTGATATTAGAAATATTTTTTTGACACACCTGACATACTGTCAAGTAGAGAATTTTATCAGATCATTCAATGTTTTGCGAATTTAAAACGTAAAATATATAGCATTTTGCGAAATAAAATGGACAACTAGGATATTATATTACTTGTAACAGTTGTAGTTTCTATTGCCTGTGTTTAAGCTGGGACTTGAATAGAGTGATGACGTAATGGTCCGAACTTCGGTGAATTGAAACGTGTAATGATTTATTTGATCATGTTGCAATGTGGATAATAACCTAATAAGCTATTGATTATTATCTATACATTTATTAATAATCGCTTAGATTATTATCCACACTGCRAAGATCATATAAATCATTACACATTGAATAGAGTGTAATATTCTTCCMCCGGTGATATAAGGGATGGTGATAGCGATGGCCAGGGACACCGGGTGGCTGGGTGGGAAGAAGACAATTTCAAGTGTTTTCATTGATAATTTTTTGGTGAACAATATTAAATGGTCTCAGATACTGCTCTAGTATTGAAATTCCCGAAACTAAATCGGCCCTATGTTTRTTCCAGAAATCATTGCAGGCACTACCGAGGACCGCGGTGGCAGTGAAYTTAGGGTATTCTAAAGCTTAGCCAATTCACTTGAAATCCATACAAAAATATCATACTCAATGGTCAAAAGAGCCAAAAATTAAGAGAAAATCTGATAGCCTCGTTTGTGAAGCTTGTACTGCCATGTCATCGCCAAACATCTCCTTCGTGTAGCATCACTCTTTGATAGTGATGATGATCGAGAGGTTTTCCTGGTACCGAGGGGTAACGGGTTTGGACGATCGTTGAATTCGTTAGACCTTGATCTATTCTTTCTGTGTGAATCTGACATCGTTTGAGACGTCTTTTTTTGAAGGACTGAGTTTTCACTCTTAGCAAGAGAAGGAAACTTTTTGTTAGATGCTATATCGGAAGTGTTTGTGAATCTGCTATCTGTAGTGCCATTGTTTTTAGGCCTCGTCTGAGTGACGGATGAAGAGGTCGGTATTGAAGGTAGTGATRGTTTTCTTGTCATAGTTTGTGGATTGGTGGAAAAGTATCGTCTCCTCTCGATAAGAGCTTGGTCTAACCTTTGAGAAACTGTTTTTAACTGATCCTTCTTGCCGACATCGTCATCGTAGGAACTCAAAACCAAGTCATCAAAGCTTTTTCGTAATTTTAACTCTTCTCTGRTGATTTTCCATAACTCCTTCTTTCGTTTGAGTTCTTTGCTTATATTTWCATCACCTCCAGCAATGAGCTGGTTTCTTTCTTCCTGTGTCAAATGAAACATTAAGAGTACTGCTGGTTTGGCTTTGTTATCTGGAGTCCATGTTTGTGAACGTGCTTTGGTCTTACTAGTACAGTCAAMCAAAACAATATCGATTTGCACCACAGGTCAAAAACAAAAAAGACATAATAGCTCCAAACGCCGAAATATTAATAAACACATTAGCAACTAGGTGGAAAGCAATCAAAAATGTAAATTAGAAATATGTACACTTATTACAACTCTGAACATTTATCTAATTAGAGCTGAAAGTCAAAAAAAAACAAAAAAACTACAATATAACGTGCTACAACTCGGACACAAAATACACTAACAGTAAACAAGGAAAACCATAAAGTTTACTCCCCTGAGATTACTCTACTTTATTTGTGCGGCTATATAACACTTCAATGAATTTAAGAGTATTATTGTGCTTACTGTTTATCATATGTGGCCTATTGTTCCGTGTTATTGTCATAGTAATGGTAGTGGTTGCTGACTCCTTACCTTCTGTTAGCTACATGAAAGAGATGATTAAAACATAATGACTATGACATTTGTAGTTGAAATGATCGTATTAGTGTAGCAACTATTAACTCACTATGCCGAATTAAAGRCATTAATGATTACGTAGATGGTAGAAGTCTACTGGTCTGGTTTAGCCTGTATGAAAAACAAGCTAAAATGACTTTTACCATGGTTTATTTAGAATTGTTTGTTGGCTTGCGGTCCATTTGTACTGCATTTGTATGTCTTTGTTTATGATTTTTTTAGCTTATGTTTACATCATTAAATTTTGACCAGTTTTCAGAATACACAAAACATGGAAGATATGAGAAACTGTCGGTTCGTGTTTAGGTTCATCAAGTCGAGCGGCATTGGGTCCAGCAGAAAAGTACATATTGAATAACAAATCCCATACTGTTTAATATATCAACGTAAATATAAAACTCTTACCGCTAATTATTACAGCGACTGTATATATTGARAAATAATTGAAAAGAAACTAATTCTATGACTTCTATTATTCTGATAGTAGAATCCTCATTACTAGAAGAATACCSCACAATATGCAACTGATGGCTGGAACGTTCTCTCTCGCGATCTCAGCCTTGCATACTATAAACATTACATTGGTAACGACAATCTATAATAAATTTGAGAAACAAAATAGACGCAAACTCCCGTAGTTTTTTTTTTATAGCGACATTTGACAATATGAAAACATTTCCCATGCATGTGTAAACTAATAKGAATTATTCAAAGGGATTTCTGGTTCACACATTTTTGCATTTGCRATCGAAAGCTGATTGGTTTATATTGTCAATGCCATGGTAACAGAAATCAACAATTTGCTTTTCTCATAAACTTGTGAAAAGGCTTTAAATAATGCAAGATAAAGATTAAAACKTTTTCAATTTTCACTTCAAAAAGATAAAACCATTTATTATGCTTTTTTGTCAAAAAGCCGCCATTTATTTTTAGCCGACTTAACCCGGTTAGTTCWGGTTATTTTGGGTTTGTCATGATTAAGATTTGCCGATAACTTTACACGAAATGGCTTGATAAATCTAGAGAGCAAACAAAAGCAATAAAGTGTTTATACAAGATAACTTAAAGCTCTTACTTTAATTATTTGACATATTACTTTTACATGATGGCCTTATCTGTACGTTTTTATATGTATTCCTCCMGATTTCCCTAGGAATTTTCATGAATTATGATTTTATAGTTCGCTACGTAAGAACTATGTACATCTTTCTCTATCAGGGCACAGTTTTTAAAGAAGAATATATTGATGTGCGATCTGAATTCAAATTAGTTAAACTTTTTGCTCTCTCTGAAAAGTAATTAACTAGACGTCAGTCTTGATGAATATGATAAATTTTGAATATTATAATTGCAACATTTTAAAATCCATCCAATCGGAATTTACGTGAATAAGATGATATAGTCCATGGATAAAATGTTATAGTTCCGCAGGATATCAAGAGTTCATTTAGTTTAAATGATATATAGATTCCTTTATCGTACARGTCTGCATTCGTCAATTGTTTACGGAAATCTACAATATTGTAGCTACCATTTTGGAATTTCTTGTAAAGTAGGAAGTCTGAATTCTCTTGACAAGTTTAGACTGGATTCTCCTTCATCAATAATCCTCTTCTTTTGTCTTTGATGAAGTTTTTTCTGCCATGTTACAGTAGTTTCTTTGCAATGTTCATCAGTGTTGCAATGTGATCTCGACGACTCATGTTTTCGCATATGACCTTTGTGTTTTCGTTCTCGTTTGTACCTACGTTTCTCTTTACGATTCGTTTTAGAGTCATTTGTTGCATGTTGTACAAGTTGTACTTGTCCTGCCGGTATTGTCGGAAGTCTTGGCGTCCATCTTGTTGTGTGAGGAGAAGAATTCCGAAGTATTTCTGTCATTGACATAGGTAACGTTGACGAAGTTAACGCAGGCAATCTAGTTGACTGCTCGTTCACAACTTCAGCAAAACTTTTCTCACTTTTATGTTTGCTCATTTGGTCAACAAATGGTGTAAAAGAGCTGTCATGTACTTTAATATCGTTGTTGTCGCTAGACGAAGAGTCTTTGTTATTTCCTCGAAAGTTATCCTGTTTTGCCATAGATTAACTCCATCAAGAAAGTACACTGTCATGGATGGTTCTCCAATCTGACTAAGATGGCGCTGCAGCACTTGTGCCAACGTTAAGCTCCACTTTAAGCACGATTAATGGATTAGCAATTGTTTACTTCAACAACATTCACTGCAGCAAAATGCCGTGCTTTTCAAGTAAATTTGTMTTGAGCCGAAAACGCGGAAAGTAGCTCTTTGATATTGAGTTGTCTCAGAGAACCAATGGAAATTATTCAGGCAAAGCCGTAACCAACGTAACATGAGACTATGACGCGCCTTGCATAGTCAAAATTCTGTTGATTTACATTTGACTAGATCTTATACCTCAAATGTGACCKACAAATGACCCGCCATACCAACGACGACAACTATGAAGTTGACGGCGCTACAAAAACAAGATGTCAAAACAAGCCAAGACTGAGACAGGGTTCACTGAGAAATAGCGGCACAAAAAAGCCGACAAGTGCTTTAAGCGGTTCTTGGAGAACTAGTGGGCAATTAGGTAATTTCAATTGCGGGGATTCTTTGTTTACAAATGTAAAAAGAATATTTGATCTTATTTGACATATGTCAGAATTGAAAGTGCTCCTTAAATGTCATATTATAAATCAATGTCAATGATCAATCTGCAAAAAACAAACGATTTACTAATAAATGTTTTTCTCTATGTAAAGATATCCATGTTTTTTCATTGGATCTGACGGGTCATTACCAGATCTGACGTCACGTCTGAATATATGACGTAATCACACCAACGCGTGCACGGAAACGAGGCAAGGGAAGCAAGGGTAGCCGGCGAGCGATGATAGCGCTGGCGTACCTCTGTGGACCCTGTTCGAATCTCGGTCTGGCCGCCATACGTGATTTGAGTTTCTTTCGTTCTCTCCCCTGCTTCGATGTGCCTTTCCGGTTTTTCCTTCCTCCGTAAAACGAACCATTGTGCTCCGCGGTCAGTCGACGTTGCTGTGTAAACGGAAGYCGGCAGGACGCCTATCATGTATGTGTACGTAAAAGGTGTCTCCTTGGTGTCTGTAATATAGCACTTCGACTTGAGAACGCGTCGAGCTGCGTCTTTCGCAATTCAGCACCAGTGCTGCCATGAAGGACGATTAGCACCCAACACCTTTTCTACCTTTTAATTTTTTATGCAGTGAGAGGAAGTTGGTATGTTGCCTCACTTTCACGCGATTCGATGTAGATCAATCAATTAGAAATAAGAGTTTGTCAGAGATACTGACTATTCTTAAAATTTCAGTACAGRGGGTAATAGCCTTGKKTTTTTTASAAAACAGAAAGCAACGAGGCMAATAAATTTATCACGCATGGATTCGRGGCTAAGCCCGCTTTCASTGAAATTTTGAGATATAGTCAATAATGRAGTGGCCATGTTATGSACGTAGACATTCTTTCTCGGCATTTAACGAGACTCTATCGCGKGCGCGTACGGAAATCCCGCGCMACAGCTRAAAACAGGAAAAAAGGATCAATACATGTAATAGCGGCCCGGMGTATGGTMCAAAAAATTTTAAAMATTGGAAAACTGAGCTGAATATCATTTCCTTTTTATGTCAATTCAAATTTCTTGCAATATAACGGTCGATATAAAGTAGACTTGTCATTTTCGTGGGGTCCCTGTGGTCCAAATCTGGCCAGGTTMCACAAATTCAATATGGCCGACAAATGATGTTTGCTGATGTTTGCTACAATTACAATATCTGTAAGGTTTCGGCATTCTTRTTCTTTAAAAGATCAGAAAATCATTAAAAGTGGCTTCCTTATACTTCCAAAAAGGTAAGTGGCCAGGTAAGAGTTAATATTCATGTGAACGAAAACTTTTTAACGTTAATTTTAGCAAGAAAACGAACGAATAGTTTTGATGTCCTCGTCACAAACCTCTTTTGTCTCAGGAATGTTTTCTAAGTCTAAAGTCCTGTCAGTGGAAGTTTTACGCCTTCGAGGACTTGCTGTCATGCTCTTCCCTCTACAAGATGCCCTTGTTTTCTCGTCATGAGATTCTCTTGTTTCAGGAATATCATTTTTTAAGTCCAAAGCTCTGTCAACGAGTTCTCTCAAGCCCGTAAAGTTTATACCATTGTCAATGCCCGTTTTACGCCTTCGAGGAATTGTTTTGATGTTCTTTCCTTGATAAGAAGTCTTTTTTTCTTGTATCGAACCACGGAGAAGTTGCTTCGCATTATCTTGACTTTGGAGTTTTGACTCATATATTTTTTCTTGAGGCACACTACAAGAGCGTTTTCGCATTTTATTGTTAGGGTTATGTTCGCCTTCCTGCTTTACTTTATCAATGCTGAATTCTTGACAAGAAAGGCTTCTATCTTTCATCTTACTGCAAGGACGGTTTCCCTTGACATGGATCTCTTTACTTTGATGTGATATTTTATCATTCAGTTCCGGTGCAGAGAGTGTTCTCTCTAGTCCCACCCTGCTGTTCATTTTGTCGCAATTATTAGTGTTATTTTCTTTCTTCATTTTATCTTGTTTATCCATCACAACATTAGCAGTGGTACGTTTGCTTATTGGTAGCTGTGTCAAGAAAGCAGACTGGCCTTCCATGTTAATCTCACTGTCACTCTTACAGCGGAAACGAGGACTTATTAAAGACTGTGTGTGCGTTTTGTCCTTGACAAATTTCTTGAAGGACAGATACCCAGACGAGACAGATATCATGGTGTTGGATGGAGAAGCACTGACACGCTTACTCAAGGGGATGTATGGCCGTGCAGAAGAMTCTTTTGGAGAGGAAGGWCCCTCTRAAGCTGCCTCCTGCGTGGATGAAGGAATGCTGTTTGAACGCTTTTGTTTGGAACCTCGTCCTTCATTGTTTATACATGTAAGGTTGAGTGAAGTATTTCTCTCTTCGTTTTTATCTGTGCTGCTTAAACTGTACACTTCTTCTGAAACAACTCTGCTCGAATTYCCCTTTTCTTCCGCTGTTGCTCTCCTTTGTCTTCGAAGACTCAAAACTGCATCCAATRTTTYYTTTTCAAACGTCTTTCCTGTGKTTGTTTTTATGTTTTCAGCATTAGGTTCAGTTKCCTGTCCTGATAAGTCACTCGAACTCATTYCTTTTTCCATACCTGCTTGTGGTACATAGTTGGGCACAAAGACTCGACGGATTTCTCGAAGTTCATTCCAAACTTTGATGCGTTCGTATCGGTTCAACATTACTGTACGTTTTTTRTCTTTCTCAACGCGATAATAGATTTCGTCCAGCTTGACTTGTGTCGACTTGGCCAGTCTTTGGGCGTCCTTTTGGAATGACTTTCGCTTGTGCATTGCTGCTCCTTTGAAACAATTAAATTTGTCAGCAACCAACGTGGTACTTCGTTAACAAAATTACTTTTGTCACAAAGGAATGCCCGTTATGCTCTCCGCTACTTTTMCAAATGTTGAAGCATTGAATTRGAAAGAACCAGCAACCAGAATATACCAGGATTTCCTGTATATACTAGTCATTATGCATCAATAACAACACAATTTCCAATTCATTAGTCGAGCATTTTTTGTCCAAATTAATATAAAAAGCGAAGAACTTGAATTCAATTGATGCACAAGAAGCTCTTATTGATACGATTGATGTACAAAAACCTCGTATTGGTAAAAGTAATGACAATGTAATCGACTAGGAGAATTATAAATACCTTGATAAACAACTATTATTCGTAATGTGTCATGTTATTTGCACAAAAGACATGTATAGAAAAGTTATTTACCATATGTTTGTGTTCTTSTGGTCGTGATCATTTATCCAAAAGAATCAACACTCAACAGCGAAGGGGCCAAAGGGTTTTAAAAGTTTTTAAACATAGTGGACGAATACTGCTTRCTTTCAATGAGCTGTACATTTGTGATCTGCYGTTTTGTTCATTGATAGTTGATAAGTGCATTTAATGCCCACTAATCCATAGAGTGATTCACAACTTCAGTTTAATTGTTTAATGATTTGGATCCTTTGAATTTCAGTAGTCGGAAAAAGCTKAATTTTCTTTTATGTCATAWGTAGTTACTTTGGRTGGGTYGATAGGCCTGTTTGAGGCGTGGGCATGACATCAACAACAATTCCCAATCGGCATATGTAATTAAGTAAGTTTTTCATTAGAAGCTGATTTATTATTAATGTCATGCAGAAGATTTACAATGTAGTTATACTCACTGAAAATAATGGTGAGCGATGATGATGATGATGCGGATGATTGTGATYAKTAATGATGATGATGATAATGCCTGAAGAATTTGGTGCAAAGT